TCATGCAAAAAAAACCTTTCCTTTCCTTAGGTAATGATTTTGCACATTCCAGAGGTACAGACCAAAACCAGCTGCTGAGAAGAGTTAAGAGAAGAGAGAAGATGTTGGCAGGTAAAGCTAGTATAAGCATTCAGCTGTTGGGCTTTCTGAAAAACTCTCATTATGATGAGGACTGGGCAAGCGCTGGACAAAATATTCAGGAACAGTGACATTGCTTCAGTGGTATTTGTAATCACCTTTCTTATGCATGTAAGCAACTTGCTTTTTCTCACAGGGATGTTCACGGAGAGAGGAGGTATCAAGAACCAAGAATAAGGAGTTTGTCCTGGAATCCTTTGAGCTTTGTATTGGATTGTGTCCTAGAATTAGGCGGGAAAAACATTATATAAGTGATAAACTCCACAGCATAAGTACCATATGACAAAAGTGGTGTCCTTAAAACACTATTTGCACCAAACAAATCTTGACAGAATATTGGCTAAATTAGTTCTGAATTTGTAAATTTGTTCCTGTAACAGGGGGCCTGCTCAGGGCCCATCTACCACGGCCCCACCCACCTGTTCTGGGCCAACCACCCGCCTTCTCTCCTGCCATGCCTTGTTGTTATCTAAATAATTATCTTAATTAGGTGGGAGGCTGCCTATTTCTTGCCCCGATGCCAAGGGGTGCTATCTGCAGCTCCGTTCCTCACGGCACCCCAAGCCTCGCAGATGGCATCCACTGATGTTAATCTCACCGGCCCCACACTGAGCCCCAGAATCCTCCAGTTAGGACTCCAGCTGGATCCCTCCACTCAGGCAGCCTACCCCGCCCTCATTCGGGAATGCCTAGCTCCCTGAAACTATTTCCCTTCTCAAGCGTGGTCCCCCAGGACCTTTGGCCACACAGGCCCTGGCCTTGCCTCCAAGGCCAGTCAGAACCCCAGGCCCTCAGCTCTGGGCATCCCTCGTGGTGGGCCCCTGGTCCTTTGACCCTTCCAGTCCTGGCCCCAGCATTGACCAGTTGAGGGATTTCCAGACAGGCTCTGAGTCTACAGCCCCACTCTCTCTCCAGGGTCCACCTTCCAGACCCTACAAGGGGGTAACCCACCCAGTTGTGGGAGCTGGGGTTATTAAGGCACCCTGACCCACCTTTCACCTGGGTGGTAACTGGCTTGGCATTTCCTGGGGGCTCCTGCGCCACTGGGAGCCCCACCAGGCCACCCACTTCCAGCAGAGTGCAGTTTTAGGTCATGCCCCAGGACCACAAGCCTCCAAACCATCCCCTACAGCTCCTGCCCTTACCTCCAGCATGTTCCAAGCAGCCTTGCAGCCAGGCGATGTTGCTGCCTGGGCTGCCAGTAGTGAACTGATCTGTTTATATAGGTGGCCAGGGATCTAAAATGGCCACCACAATCAAGCACCTGCTGGCTCCTGAGTCCTTAAAGTGGCAGGCACCAATGGTGCCCTGCCACAGTTCCATTATATTATATAATTTGTTCTTTTCCTCTTATCTTAAATGTACAAAAAATTGACTTTAATTGATTTTATCAATTACATTGCATCGTCTCACTATATATAAATATGTTGAATATCATCTCACTACATGTTGTGATAGAGAAGTTAAGGTGTCTTGCTATTGCTCTGGAGATCATAGTTCAAGCCTTGCTCCAGACTCATACTAAAACATGGCATCCAGTCAACCCATTTGTAAACATGTGCTTGGTCGCTTGGGCTAGGGAGTCAAAGGTGGCCAGAAGTTTTGGCAGAGGGAGGTTGTTAGTCATGTTAGTCTGAAGTCAGGCAGAAGGCAAGGTAGATTTGCACCCCAACTTCAAACAGCATCTCTCCAGCAATAGACTACCTAACTCCTGTTCTCACCAAGGTACAAGACCTTGCTCCAGACCCCGATGCCAGCTGTGCTCACTCATCAACATCGACGACGCATAGGGGGTGCACACGGGTGCACATGCACCCCCTGAGATTGGCGGTGCACCCCCTGAGATTGGCCACCGCTGATGCTGCTGGTGGTGCCTGTGGGCAGATGCTGCTCACCCTCGCCGCCCCCCACCCTTGCTGCCATCACCCCCGGCAGCGTCTGCTGGCCACTGCCGACACTGCTGGCAGCGTCTGTGGGTGGTTGCCAATCACTGGTCAGCGCTTGCCACACCACCTCCCCCTCGCTGCGGACACCTCCGCAGCTGCTCAAGAGCTCCCTACTCACCACCACCATGCCCCTGCCACCAACACCACTGCCGCCACCTGCCGGCAGTTGCCATGCCCACCCCCAGCCTCAGGAGGCACGTGACATTCATGCTCATCAACACAGACCATAGGATCAAACCACGCTGATTATATTATCTGAAGATCATTCCTCTGCTCTTACATTAAGATCATATACAGCATGCCATTGCCTGCTTACAGTGCCCCTCCGCTGTCTACATTGGTCAGATGGGGCAACATGTGAAAGAATGAATGAACACTGACTTGACATCAGTTCCAGAAAGACACAAGCCTGTGGCAGAACACATTAATCACCCTGATCTTTCCATTGGTGACCTCAGAGTAGCTGTTCTTAAACAACAAAACTTGAAAAAACAACTTCAACAGGAAATTATGGACAAGAAATTACTCACATTGTGTTAAATATGATCTAAACTATGACTATTGATTCTGATTTCATCACCTGAATTAGCTTTTATAAACCCTATGACCTTACCTACACCTTGTAGTCTAATATTCTATTTAGAAGTTCTGCTTCCTGCATTCCCTTTGTAGCATTTGATGAACTAAGCTGCTGCTTACAAATGCTTATGCATCTCTGACAGTTTAATCTAAGGTGTAAATCTGTCCTGCCTTTGGCCAAAGTCATAGTAGCTATTTCATTCCCGTACGTGCTGTTGGCTATAGAGGACGTTGGTATGTCCACACTACCCTGATGGATTACTTAGGCACAGGGGACCTTATCTACCCCCCCCTCCACACACACACCCCGCTTTTTTTCTTTCCCATGACTATCAGAGAAGGCGCTCTGCAAGGATTTGATGGATACAGGATATATAATTAAAATTCTCAAGGGAATAGGATCAGCACTATCCATACTATGTAGGTCAGCAGAAGCTTAATATTCACTAATTTTTTAGTTCTATGTGTAGGGTATTTAACTTCTGATGAAAGTGGAAATCCTAAAGTGTTGCTGCTTCATTCTTGTGTAGAAAATTCAATATTTAGTTACCAACTTGTCATATAATGTTCTGAAGTCTTGCCCATTTACCAAATGCATAATTAGTACATTGACTAAAGCCATTCCTACAGCAATGTGGGTGATTTCTAATTATCAATAATACTTTGTATTTATATGTCTTTCCTCTGTGGATATCAAAAGCACTTTAAACATTAGTTTAGCCTCACAGTAACCCTGTGAAGTGAGAAAATAGTATATTCGTATGTTACAGCTGTGTAAAGCAGGCCAAAAGGAGATCAAGTAGCTTGGCCAACATCACACACTGGACCTGTATCAGAGCTGGGGACAGAGCTGGGGAGGAATCCTGACTCCAAGTCTAATTTTACCACTTGACACTTTTTTGCCACTTCATTATATGCCTTCTGATCTTTCAAATGTAGATGCAAATGACAAACCAAATAAGATATACTCAATATCTTTCTTCACAGATGGATGTTCCTCCCATAATACAGCTGTTGCAGTTGGAGCACTTGGAGGATTCCTTTACTACTACTGAAAATGCCATTGTGTTCCAGATGATCAGCTTGAAACTGCACATACCAGACTCTCATTGATGGGTTAGCCGTGGAATGCCACCTCCAATTCTACCATGAAAAGGGGCCATTTCTTAAGTCATAATCTTCCCTTTCAGTATATGGAGCAGCCCCACCAGAGGAACCAATTTTAACCAAGTGCTACTAGTGCTAGTTAGTAGCCCAGTGGTGCTTTCAAAGCATCAGGGGGTTGGTAGATATTTCAGTAGATTGAATTCCAGTGTAGTACTCCCACCACTACCACTGGACACATTTTTTTTCTAATTGCATTGACTTCAAAAGTAGCACCGTCAACTGCAGTGGAGTTTAATTCATTTCTATTTGTCCTGGGTATTTCTAAGGTCTCATACCTTGTTATCTCAGGGCCTGACCCTACCTTTTGTTGAGCATCTTCAGTCCTATTGAAATCTATGGGGCTGTAATGCCTTCATGGAATAATTTAGTCATTTAGACCTATTTTGGTGGACTGACTATGGACTGAGTAAGATGCATCACACAGTAAAGAAATTAGATAATTTTACTTCAGGTGGTGGTGATACAATTCTCCAGATCCCAGGCCTGTATAATCAGTAGGTTCCCATTCTCTAATCCTATGGTTATGGTTTAAGATTTTTTGTATTTGTTGTTTTACCAATATTATAGAGAAAGACATTAGATATTATTCCTCTGTAGTTTGATTCTTCATGTTCCCTGTTGCTGAGTACATAAAAACAATGAAACTGCTGTTGGCTCTATCAGTATATCAAATGGTAAATTATTTACTTGGCTTAATAATACAGGTAAGTTGCTTCTTGTATTTATTTCCTTGTCTGTATTGAAATGGCATTATGTTACGTGGTTAAGTAAATGACTCACTGGGTCCTGTCAACTATCAGGCCAAACTATGTCATATGCATATCATATGTCTGCATCGTCTAGCCAGCTACTAAATTATTTGTTAGTTTCATAGAAGTTGCATGCAATGTTAATAAACATGGACCTAATGTGTAATGACTTGAGGCTTAGTACTTGCATAGTACTTTACATTCTCAGATTCTCCATTCCATAAGTGGAGAGACGTAAATATGTTGTGGCCATAAGTTATACACAATGCTGGCAATGCTAATGAGTGAATGGATTTGCTTCTTTTGGGAAATACATTTTGTGAGCAAAGTGATCTTTACATCTTTATTTGTCAAATATCTGCCAGGGTTTTCAGAAAAGTTTTTCAAGAGTAGATGTTCCCTGTTCCTTCTCCTTCTGACCAGGGTTGTCAGCTGTCAGTAAATGTACTGATTGCCAGTAAAAAAAAAAGAAGCTAAAAAGGTCTGTCAGTAAAGTCAATATAAGAAACTTTTAACCATCAGTAAAAACAATAAGCAGCCACAGCTTAATTGAAACTCCAACACAGATAGCATAGCACTGCCACCGGGTGTCTGAGCAGGAGCACAGAACCCTGCAGGGTGTATTCTCTTTGCCATATGTTGCTGCTGTCTCAGGCTGCTTGTAATGCTGCTGGGTTGAAGGTAGACTTTTGGGGGGGTCCATGCCAGGATGACAGAAGCAGGGCTGATAAGACTGACAGGGGGGACACAACATGGTGCAGGGTGCAGTAAGGGACATCAAGGTGTGGGGGTGAGTAGGATGCACCTGGTATAGGAGGGCAGCACAGTGTAAAACCATTGCTGTAGTCAGACAGGGTTATGAACCCAAGAAAGCTTTTTCTCACTGCAAGATTTTTACTGACAACCAAACTTTTAAATCCTTTTGCTATGGTTAATGTCAAGTCCTTAAATTTGATTTGGGCTTGGCAGCAAGGTAAGGCCTGGCAGAAGCATTATACTTACATTATGTAAAACATATATCAGTGAAAACATGAATGAGTAAAAATAGTTGACTGTCAGTAAAAAGCTTGCAATTGTTGGTAGTTTTTTTTCATGGATTGGCAGCTCTGTCTTTGGCATACTCCAGTATGGAGCATATGACTGAGTTACCACAAAGTGAGTGGTAAGGTTTTCTAAAACCACCTACTTGTTGGCTAGGAAAATCTCACTAGAACAAAAAACAAACAAACAAATAATCCAACGATTGAAACAGGGAGGTGGCTTGATGTCCTCTCTCATCTGCAATTGAAAGCAGTAGCTCTTGTCTCAGAGCAGCTCTCGACTACATTAGACATTGACAGAGGAAAGAGGATCAAGAGAAGACCTTTTAAATAAATCTCAAGCAAGGAACCACAAGGTCTGACCTATAAATGGTCACAGTCACATGCACAAGTTCAGCACTGACTTAAGTATATGGACCAACAGCACGTGGTGCTTCACAATGGTCATGGCTTTGGGAGATGGCAGAATTAAGGCAGAAGTGGAGCTGTTGCTAGTTCAAGAAAAGGTAAGAACTGCCATTACTTACAGTGGCTGAATATGATAACAAATATATCAATAAAACCCATAGCAGCAATTCTGGACATGGGCTAAACAAGTGTTTCTTCTGATGCCCTGGCATCTGGCCAGACACTGCATAGGAATAAGGTTATGAATTCCATAAAGAACTCTTCATGAGACTGCATGTGCACAGACCCTAATTATAATCCAACAGGATGTCCACACAGTTTATTTGGCACTGGCTGTACTTTCTAAAGCACAAAATGCTGTTTCTCAGTGCATCACCATTTGGTGGCAACATACAACATCATGGCATCATTTCAGTTGATTAGTCAAATCTGGGGGCTAGGATCTTGAAAGGAAAGGAGAACAGAGATGTGAAAAGACCAGGAATAGCTCTTTGCAAACTTAGTGAAAGGGACAGTGTTTTCCCTTTTAACCAACCCAAGTCAGCCTTTCTGCTCACCTACAGAATCTAGAAAGTGATTCCCAGTTTTTTTTACTGAACACTTTGCAATCCTCTTTGTTACCTTGTGTTGAAAGACTGTAAGGGCTATGTACAAACATATTCAAAAACTACAGCTGACATGGAATTCCTGCTTACGTGGGAAGCAGAGTCTCTTTTTGCAAGCATATTACACTCCTGCTCTATGTCCCGATTTACACACTGATTTTAAGATGATACTTTTGACTTACAAAGCTTGGTCTCAAGGCCTTATCAAAATGGCTATTTCTTTCCTCATGATAGAAAATCACAGCTGCAGACAGCATAACCACCTGATCCAAAACCCCTCTGATTAAGACACACTGCTTAACAAGTCAAATTTCTTCTTACATTTATTTCCTTACATTAATTCAACTCCTTGGATGACTTTCTTATATTCGAATAGGGCAGCCCCACTAATGCCCTGAACCTTTGCAACTTAACTACATACCTGGTCTGTAACAGCCCAAGTTGGTTAGCTTACAGGGAACACTCTTGGGAGGAGATGGCTATTGATCACAGCTGGGAAGTAGGGCTGCGGCTGGGTTTGTGGCTGGACAGTTGGGTAGTTCTTGCTATAACTGTTTTATTGCTAGGTTGATTTGATTCTTCACGGTAAGCACATATTAGCATAGTTATTGTCAAGTATGCCCAGGAGGCTAGAGAAGTGGATGGGTGTTCTTATAGGGCACAATAAGTAAGTCGTTATTATTGTTAAAGTGGTACAAAAGACGAGCAGGGGTAAAAACAGCGGGTCCACTACTGTGATGATGCCAGCAGGCAGAATATTGACAACCGCAGCACTCAACCCAAAAGGAAGAAGCTAGCACATCCTTCTGCTAGTATAGAACCATAGAACCAAAATTCATAAGAATGCTTCATGATGCTGCAGAGAGGCAGTTCACAGACTGTTTGCTCTGATGTGGTCTCAGGCTGGTTTGAAACACAGAATTTTGTGAGCCGCCTCTGCAGATCAACTAAAACAAACCCCAATGCCTTGGCCCAATATTTCATAGTTTCATAGTTGTTATGGGATGGAAGGGACTTTACAGATCATCAGGTCCAGCCCCCCTGCACTTGGGCAAGAAAGGCTGCTGGGATCAGATGACCCCAGCAAGACGCTTTTTGAAGATCGCCAGGGTGGGTGACTGTACCACCTCTGGAGGGAGCCTGTTCCAAACCCTCAGTACTCAACTTGTAAAGTTTTTCCTTATGTTCTAGCCTGAAGCAATCTTCAATCAGCTTGTGCCCATTATTTCATGTCATCTCCTGGGGGGCCTTGCTGAATAAGTGCTCCCCCAGGCCCTGACGTACACTCTTGATATACTTATAGGCCACCAAGTCCCCTCTGAGTCTTCTCTACTCCACGCTGAACAGTCCCAAGTCTTTCAGCCTCTCCTCATATGACCTGGGCTCCAGGCCTCTAATCATGCGTGTGGCCCTTCTTCAAACTCTCTCGAGCTTCTCCACATCCTTCCTGAAGTGTGGCACCCAGAACCGGACGCAGAACTCCAGCTGCGGTCTCACCAAGGCCAAGTAGAGAGGGAGGATAACATCCTTAGCCTTGCTCAAGATGCCTCAGTAGATGCATGCCAGTGTTTGATTAGCTCTGCCAGCTACAGCATCGCATTGGTGGCTCATGTTCATTTTGTTGTCTATCATGACACCCAGGTCTCATTCAGATGTGGTGCTAGCAAGCATAGCACTGCCGAGCCTATAAGTGTGTTGTGGAATATTTTTCCCCAGATGGAGCACTTTACATTTCTCCATAGTAAACGACATCTGGTTGAGGCCCACTCACCTCATGAGCCTGTCCAGGTTGGCCTGTATTGCCAGCCTATCTTTGAGCATGGCCACACTCCCCTGTAGTTTGGTGTTGGCAGTGAACTTTCCTAGTTTGCTTTTTATACCCAAATCCAAAATCATTGATGAACATGTTGAAAAGCACTGGTCTGAGTACTGAACTCTGAGGGATGCCACTGGTCACCTCCCGCCATGATGACTCAGTTCCGTTAATCAATACTCTCTGGAGTATTGATACCATGGAGCCAGTTACCTAGCCATCAGACCATAAAGTAATCGAGGCCACATTTTCCCAATTTTTTCATGAGGACTTGGTGGGAGACCAGGTCAGAGGCCTTTTTGAAGTCTACGTATATGATATCAACCTCATTTCCCCCATCCAGGTGGCGAGTAACCTGATCATAGAAGGAAATGAGGTTGGTCTGGCATGACCTGCTCATAACGAAGCCATGCTGGCTATCCTTCAGAATACTGCCTTCTGCTAGCCTGTCTATAATGGATTCTTTGATCATTTTCTCCAGGATTTTACTAGGGATTGAGGTCAAAGTGATTGGCCTGCAATTTCCCATGTCCTCCTTTCTCCCTTTCTTAAAGCTAGGCACCATGTTGACCTTCTTCCAATCTTCTGGGACCTCTCCCAAGTGCCACATGGCTTCAAATAACTTTGCCATCAGTCACATGATGACATCAGCCAGTTCTTTTAGCATCCTTGGGTGTACTTCATCTGATCCTGCTGACTTCTAGATATTCAGCCTTTGTAGGAGCTCCCCCACAATATCTACGCCAATTATGCAGTTGGTGTAGATGGTGGTCACTCCCACCGTGATCATCCTGTATGCTGTCAAGCAGGCTAACACCCTTAGACTGGTGGAATACTGATGTGAAGTGTTCATTCAGGAGTTCGCTTTTGTCCTGAGTGTCACTTATCAGCTGTCCCATTTCATCTATCAGGGGCCCCGTGCTTCCCTTATTTTTTCTCCGACTTCCTACATATCTAAAGAAGAACTTCTTGTTGTCCTTGATTTCAGTTGCCAATCTGTATTTGGTTTGTGTTTTTGCTGTCCTGATCTGCTCCCTACAGGTATAGGCTGTTGCCAAGTACTCCTCTTTGGTAGTTATTCCTGACTTCCATCCTTTGTAGGCTTCTCATTTAATTTCAGGAGGTCCATGACTTCCTTGGTGAACCAAGGGGGATCTCCCAGCTGTTTTACTGCCTTTCTTACAAAAGGGAATGGACTTCCTTTGAGCTTTTAGGATTGCTTCCTTGAGGAACAACAACTCTTCATGTACCCCCTTCCTCATCAGACCATGGTCCTGCAGGGCCTTGCCAACCAATCCCCTAAGTTTGTGAAAGTCAGCTTTCCTAAAATCAAGGA